TGTATATATAATGAGGATTTTGAAAGCTACAGCTGTGAGAAACAACGAGTTAAACTTGGAAAAAGCTCATCAGCGAAAAATGATTAATTGTAATAAATTTTTATAGGGCACACTCTTATCCCTGTTTGCATTATCCATGCCGAACACGTGCCCAACGCCAAAGCTCTGTTGTAAGTAGCATTATTTTGCGACTTGTGTCGGCATATATTTATTTTTTATACTAATATATAGAAGTTTAATAATGATTTATATGCTATAGGAATTGTAGCTTTTTTTGTTGTTAAGATAATTACTTTAAATTCTCCAGTATTTATTATGCAACATTTCTTTAGAATAAAAACATGAAAATTTTTCAAGTCAAAAGTGAAAATTTTTATGTATCAACATATGTATATATTCACATAGCACACATATGTATTATATATATATTTAAAAAAAATGTTTACTGTTTAAGATTCTACTTCTCTCTATGGAAAAAGTTATACGATTGAGCCTTTAGAAACATATATATCTTTTTCTTTTCTTATAACTTTTTCCCTAAGATGGAAACGTAGAAAGTAAAAAATTTCTTCATTAACTTCAATATTAAAAATTTTCTTCTCATATTTCCATCCTATGGGAAAAAGTTCATATGATCGCTATCCAGAAAATGAACGTACATGTAGAAAGATTAAAGGTTATAGTGTTCTTTTTTGCATCCAGATGTAGAAAGTACAAGGCAAACCACTATTGGATAAATCAAGCGAGACATATACGTTCGACTTCAGCACTATGTAAGTATGACATCTTATGTAAAGACGTAACAGTTAATTTAATCGCGTATAATTTATGTTATCTAAACAGGGGAGATCAGGGAAGTTGTAGTTCCTGCGTTTGCCGAAAGTGTGAGCGAGGGCGACGTGAGGTGGGAAAAGAAAATCGGCGACCAGGTAAAGGAAGACGATGTCCTCTGCGAGATCGAAACGGACAAGGCAAGCATCTAGGACGTTTCTTTTTTTTTTCGCTTGTAAAAACCTATTCTACAATTGTGTAAAGCCTGTTTTATAATTGCTCATAAGTGTAATTGTAAGTGCTTGTAGTTGTAAGAATTGACATCATCGAATCACAGTTGAATATAAGGAGAATATTCGGTTATAATTTGGTTAATTTTTATAAATTGATGCTGAGCAATCACTTACAACTACGCTTATGCAATTGTAGAATGAACGTAACACAAAGTAGGAATAATCGCGATTATTATGAGGGATATTACAAACTATTCGAAATTTAATCGCGCTTGCCCATAGACTTCTGTTCCTGTACCGTCGCCTGGGCCCGGCGTCATAAAGGAGCTGTTCGTTAAGGATGGCGATACTGTAAAGCCGGGACAGAAGTTATGCACCATCGACATCGGTGCAACCGGCGGTGCTGCAGCCGCACCTGCGGAGAAAGCGCCGCAACCTCCTGCGGCCGCGTCGGCGGAAAAGGCACCGAAACCTGCACCTCCTCCGGCACCATCGGCTCCAAGTGTGGCACCTCCACTCCCGAGGTCCGCAGCGCCGATCCCACCTCCCGCCACTGAACCACCATCTCCACAAGCACCTACTGCATCCATGCCAGTTGCGGCTATTAAACATGCCCAAGTAAATATCAGTTATTATTATGCATTAGTTATTATACAATTTGAAAATATTACGAAAATGATGTACTTTTTTTTAGTCGTTGGAAGGTGCAAAAGTTCAGCTACCTCCTGCCGATTATACGCGCGAAATAATCGGCACCAGGACAGAACAGCGAGTGAAAATGAATAGAATGCGTCTACGTATTGCGGAACGTCTGAAGGACGCGCAGAACACGAACGCTATGCTGACCACGTTTAATGAAATTGACATGAGGTAATTTCAAGTATTATCGCTTAATATAAAAACCACATACAGTGTAACGCACGCGCGCGCACACACGCACACACACACACACACACACACACACACACACAATATATATGCTGAGCGCTCAGTGAGCGATTGCTGAATCCACCCATTGAATCCTTGTTTAACATTGGCGTTTAACAACAAAGATGATTTACTGTGTTAAAAACTTTGTTAATTGTGTCTCGCTGGAAAATTCTCTACAATACTCTATGTATCTATCGTTTATTTACAACACAAGTAAAAACAAAATTTTTCAGAAAACAAGTTTGAATGTTTTGAATCATTAAAATTTTATAATGTTAATTTAAAAATGGACTTTTGGTATAATAATTGATTATAGAAGAACGATATGTTCTTTTGAAGTATAATACGTTTTCCTTTTTTCTTTTTTTCTGTTCCTTTTTTTAAAGCAATTGAAAAAAAATGATAATTTTTTAATTATGTTGCTATTGTAGCAAATAAATAAATGTATTTAGAGATTTTTTTAAATTAATGTATTTAGAGAGTTATCAAAAATTAATATGTATTTAGAAATTATTAAAAATTAATGACCAATTTAATATGTAATATTTCTAATTTCAGTTCATAATTGCATTTCAAATCCGGCAGAAAGCGGTGTGCAATTTAAAAAAATTGTATTTATAGTCGCATCAAATTTGCAGATATTTTAGCAAAATTCTTTCTGTATAAAAATATGCGGGTATTTATACATACGAGCGCAAATTAAATTATTTTACAAATCTTAAGTTCTAAGAGTTTTTTTCAAGAAGCTGGATCATCGTTATTAAAAATTAACAATCACTTTAATAATATAAATTGAGTTACGTT